AATCGATAATTTTGACCCATACAATGTTTTTTTGGCTATTGCTACAAATATACCCCAGCGACTTAAGACTTTTGTGCTCCAGCGTCACAAATGTTAATATGTTGTGTAATTAAAGAAATAGAGTAAAGCAGTTATCAATGCATTTATATAGATGACAAAACATGATTACAGCCATACATTTAAACACACAGTACAGTGAAAAATGAATAAAATGCAATGATTTAACAGCTGTGTTTAAAGGGTGCTGTTCTTCCTCAAACATTTATACATAGACAATATCAACAGTGTGACATTAAACAAAGCTTTAGTGTGATTTCAAGTGGCCAGAGAAGAATTTACAATCATTTTCCACTTAATTCCATTATCAATATCAACATGAATATCTAATTTTCTTTTTTTTTTTTTTAGCAGTACAGAAGAAAACCTCCACTCTTCATAACATTTATTACCATTTATAGAGGTAAACTGGTAGTTATAACTGCATTCAAAGTCTTTTTCAAGCTGCAGGGCATTCAATGTGCTACATTACATCTTTACCATAATATCACTTATTTTCAGCAGAAGAAAATCATGTCCAATGACACATCCTTCCAATAATATAGCAATGGACAATAATGCAGCTAAAATCGACAATCGATATATATTAAAACTGGAAGTCAGCACGAGCACAGAATATCCTCTAAAGTTTCCTTAAGTTCAAAAAAAAAAATCAAAAATACACCTTTAACCTTTTAAATAACACAACTGTAAAATGTAGACAATGTTTGCAAAAACATTGAAAATCTTGAAAAAGACAAAGCAGCACTATGTACCTTTTGGTGCTCTAGCGGTTAATAAACAGAACTGCACACATCCCGCGGAAGAACATTCTAACCGGAGCTACTTCTCTAAGTTTATATCTATGGCGATTCACGCAGGTATGTGTTACTCCGCAGCGGTGACGACCCGACCAGGCTACAATAGTCCAAATATAAGTACTTATTATAAGTGTACCGTAGTGATTCGGAATAAGACAAAAACGCGGTTTGGAAGATGAATTCATGATGTACTCGCTCATTATATACATTTAGCAAATTTTGAACACAGAAAAAGCTACATAGTGCTGCTTTAATTGTTCTATACTATGTTTAATATAAAATGCAATAACATCATTCTACAGAGTAAAGGCCAGTTCACACCAACACAAATTTGGTCAAATTTTTGCATTTTGTCTGTTCAAACCAATGCGTAAAAAATGGCAGGGCTGAACGAAAATGCTAAAGCACTCTGAGAGAAGGAGACCCTTATAGAAAAAGCAGAAATACCCTGTACACAAAGTGTTGTGCCGTTTGAGACACCTGTTTTTCACAGAGAAGAAAGGAAATTAAAACCGTATTTACATGTTTTCAAATAGCCCTCACTATGGTGTATATCAAACAACACCAAATACAAGAATACAGAGACAGAGAAAAGATTCAGACTTATTCCTCTGTATTCACTGGTGTTTAGCAAAACAGTTTGTTCATGAGCACCACCGAGTCATAGTTTTATGAAACACCAACGGCTGAGAATTACATTCCCTATTAGTAAAAAAAAAAAAAAAAAGTCACATTGCCAGCATGTAAATGTTAGTGACGGATGCATTAACAGCAGTTCTTTCCAATTAAATTCAACCACAGCAGATTTTTCGGTATTTGGCGTGGTGTGAACAAGGCCTTGAGTCATAACTAACTGCTGAGGTGAGTTTCTAGAGTTTTGGAGGAGGTTAAGGTAGGATCTTCTAGTTGAGCTGATGTTAACTGTGAGCTTCAGTCCCACACTCGCTCTCCTCTGGAATATCCTGCAGATCTGAAAACCAGACAAAGCAGTGCGTGTTTGTGAGGTATGATTCAATATGCAATATGATGGAGACCAGAGGAAAAAAATTGATGGTTAAATATTAGGGTGAATCTCATAAAAACATTTTGATCATTGTGACAAAATTAGGCAATTTTTTATTTTTTTTTTAGTTTATAAGTTTATAATTCTCATTCGTACGGTGACCGAGAAGTGCAAAACAAATCACAATTCTGAAAACAAAATAACAAATTACAAACACAAATGCAAATCTAAAAAACAAAATACCAAGTCAGAAAACACCACGACAAATCCGAAAACAAAATACCAAGTCAGAAAACACCACGACAAATCCGAAAACAAAATACCAAGTCAGAAAACACCACGACAAATCCGAAAACAAAATACCAAGTCAGAAAACACCACGACAAATCCGAAAACAAAATACCAAGTCAGAAAACACCACGACAAATCCGAAAACAAAATACCAAGTCAGAAAACACCACGACAAATCCGAAAACAAAATACCAAGTCAGAAAACACCACGACAAATCCGAAAACAAAATACCAAGTCAGAAAACACCACGACAAATCCGAAAACAAAATACCAAGTCAGAAAACAC